GGAAAAACAAAGAGTTTTCCCCTCAAATGGCAGCCATTTGAGGGGAAAACTCTTTGTTTTCCCCTCAAATGGTGTGGCCCCGCCCAGCGTGTGATGTCACTTCCGGTGACGTCCCGGCGGCGCGCGCGCACTTTGCGCGCGCGCACACACGCTCTGCAACGACTCCCGGACGGGAAGGAGCCTCCCCCGCCGGTGAGTCGAACCGATTTGGCAACCCTAATTAGCATTTTATTCAGCGGCCATTTTTGTTGAAAAAGAGGTGCAGAAGCTCATTAGTATAACTTATTAGCATAACTTATTTGCATATGCCACACACCCCTGACATCACCGGAAGTGTGTCAGAAGGCAACACCCACTGCTCAGGCTCCAGCCCAAAAATCCCCAGGTATTTCCCAACTCAGATTCAAACCTGGGTCTCCCAAATCCTTGTCTGGAACACTAACCACTACGCGGCGGCGGCAGAGAGTCCTCCAGGCAGCCCAGAGAGTTGGGGGCCTGCACTGCCGAGGAAGTCAGGGGGCCTTAGCAGGAAGTCGGGGGAGCAAGCTGGACTTGTTACTCCTAGAATGCCATTCCTGTGCGTTCCTGCTCGAAATGACCCCTGATTTTATTGCTAGTCTTGTACCACCAGGGGTCTTTTCACAGAAAAAGAACTGCAGGAGCTCATTAGCATATGGCATGCTAATGAGCTACTAGGCTATTAGCATACGCCATGCCCCCTGACATCACCGGAAGTGATGTTAGAAGGGTAAGCAAAGGGGGGGAAGGCATCTTCAAAAGCCTCCCCTTCCCTTCCCCAGCTGGCCTGCGGGGTGGGGAGAGCAAAGAGAGAAGGGGTTTAAAGTTTAGACCCCTCCTCACTAGAGTTGGGCCACAGAAGGAGGAAAGAGGGAAGGAAAGAGAGAGAGTAGAGAGAAGGAAAGAAAGAGGGAAAGAAAGAGAAGGAAAGAAGGAAGAAAAGAAGGAAGGAAAGGGGATAAAAAGAGAGAAGGAAAGAGGGAAAGAAAGCGAGAAGGGGAGGGAAAGAAGAAAAGGAGAGAAGGAAAGGAGGGAATGAGAGAGGAGGAAAGGAGGAAAAGAGGAAGGGAGGAAGGAAGAGAAGGGAAAGA